GCAACTTTCATAACGATCCCAACGAACATTCCTTTGAGAAGGTTCCTGATACCATCCCTGTGCATTCCACTGGCGTGTATGTGAACACATTTGGGACTAACAGGGTTTACTAGAATCCCACCACTCTACCACAGAGTCACCGCAGTAGACGTTAGATGAGCGCTGTCGCTCCGCGGCACTTGTTTGAACTTATTGTGTATACACCAGCATGGCGGCTATGATATTAAGTGTGGCGGGTGCATTTTAGGATGGCGGGGCTCGACGATAGCCTGGGGGGTCGCCAGGCTATAAGTGCCCTTGGAGAACCTTGCGACAGTAAATCATGGAGTATTTGACTCCAGTCTCCCGTTAATTTCGCACCCTGTATATATATAATATATCGATTAACTATATCTATGCTATTTCTCTAGATTTCATTCGTAGCGGGGTTCTATGCAGGAGTTTACGCTTCACAAAACTATGAAGTAAGTTTGTAGCATTGTGTGTTTAGTATAACTCCTAATTACATATCAGATTAATTAAGTACAATAATATATATTCGTATCTGTGTGGTTCCATTCGGTATGGTCTAGGTAACGTGGTTTCTGTAACGTAACTAGGTAACGTGCTCTCTGTAGTAGTAGAAGTAGTGCTTATATTACTAGCTCTTATCTTTGTAGCTCTTTCTCTTCTACAGATCGTCTATGGCAGCATGAAAGTTGGTAGAGCTGTCATACTAGAGTCTGTATAGTGTATAGTAATAATAACTTCTCAGCTCTTACGAACTGTACTGCCTAAAATCTGTTGAGAGTAATTTTTATAACAAACTGGAATAACAGCTGTTTCCAAGTGTAGTAATTCAAGTTGTAACTATTTCAGAGAAATGCATGTCCTAGATTTTAGATCTCTCTTTAGAACATAGATGATATATCTCTCTTTAGAACATAGATTATATTATATCTCTCTTTAGATCATGGATTATAGATCTCTTTTTCGATTCATTTTCCCACAATATTCTTTGATTATAACATCCAGGGTAATGATAGGCTGGTGACACTGCCTAGTGTAAAAGTTATAACTGAGGACAAGTATCAGATAAACGTAGCAGTTTTTGAATAGTTTAATGCCTCTTCTCGTTAACGATCATCATGCTAATTAAACTTGATTATGATATATTTGAGATATTACAGACCACATTCAATAGAACTCAAATTTATATGAAGATTGCATTTTAAACATCCTATAAAAAGTTTCCTAAAAGCAATACTATTTATCTGCTTGTATTGCAACTGCAACTGCATGAGTCATGATTGCAAATAACAATTCTGCTTATTCGTCAGCTACCACACCTCGACAAACCTGCGGAACTTTGGGAAAAATTGCTAGCCGTACTGGAAACGTATGAAAAGGCGTCGAAGAAGAAAGACGACCCCTAGCCAAGCAACGGCTGCAAGCAAATGATGATGTGATCTTAATGAGCTGTGATCCTAGTATTACCTACAGTCAGTATTGTGAGGAAATCGGAGACACCGGTCGCACCCTCCCACCGACATCTCGTAATCGACGCCGCGCGTCATGGCGGAAGCCATGGAAACCGAGATTGCGACGACGACGACGGCGAAACAAGAGGACGCGCCCGCCGACGACCTCGACGGGCAGATCCTGGCACTGTGCCAAGAGTTTCCGAAGGGCATCACGGACGCCGTCATCCAGAATACGATGCCGGAGCTTACGGCCCAGCGTCGCGTAACGGCGATCAACCGCCTGCTGTCCGGCGGGAGGATAGATCTCCTGCGCAGCGGTTCTCAGCTTGTCTATAAGCTGAAGGATCCGGGGAGCGGTGCGGAGGTGCGCGGGGGTGACCACCAGGAGAAGCTGGTCTACCAGATCATCAAGGAGGCGGGGAACAAGGGGATATGGATCCGCGATATTCGCTATAAGAGCAACCTGCTGCTGACACAGGTGAGATATGAACGTGAGAGAGGTGAGAGAGGCGAGGTGTATGTGAGACAGGTGAGAGAGAGGTTAGAGGTGAGAGGTGAGAGGTGAGAGAGATGAGATGAGAGAGATGTGAGAAAGGTGAGAGATATGAAAGATGTGAGAGAGAGGTGGGAGGTTAGAAAGATGAGAGGTAAGAATTAAGCACGTGGATATGTGGACGGGGGAAAACGGTGAAAATGCTTTTTTCCTTTCGCAGGTGAACAAGATCCTCAAGTCTCTCGAGAGCAAGAAGCTGATAAAGGCAGTCAAGTCGGTCGCCGCCTCCAAGAAGAAGGTCTACATGCTCTTCGACGTCGAACCTGACCGCTCTGTGACCGGCGGCGCGTGGTACAGCGACCAGGACTTCGAGTCGGAATTCGTCGAAGTTCTCAACCAGCAGTGCTGTAAGTTTCTGCGGCAGAAGGCGGACGCGGCGAGGGATTCGCGTCCCGACCCAATCGCGCAGCGCAACGCGGCGTACGCATCGGCGCGCGAAGTCTGGCGATTCATCTCAGAGCTCGGCGTCAGCAAGATCCAGCTCTCGATGGACGATATCGAGATGATTCTGAACACGCTGATCTACGACGGCGTCGTCGAGCGTACGGTCGTCGCGGCAACGTCGCAGGGAGGCGGCGACGACGGAGACCCGCAGAGTCTGTACCGCGCGGTGAATCGCATGCTGCCTGACACGGGCGTGATGCGCGTGCCGTGCGGGGTGTGCCCCGTGTTCGATCAGTGCCACGAGGAGGGAGCGGTGTCGCCATCTACGTGCGTGTACATGAAAGAATGGCTCGAGTACTGACTCCGATCGCATCGCGTGTCGAAAGCCATAACGAGTCGTTAGTTATGCGTCGGCCCGAACGCTCGCATGTAGAAGGTATTAAAACGAATAAATAAGTCAAATCGAATCACATGGGAGTGTTGATTTAATGCCTGTGTTCGTTTAAAATATGTAAAGCGCATGGGTATGAATTTAACGTGTAATGTAACGTCTCATGTAATTCGAATGTTGAAAAGTAAACACAGTCTCAAAGTTAGAGGTGTACTATATATTTAATTGCCTACAAATGTTAGACACACACTCATTTGTACTCCAGCATAACCACTCTCAGTGCTGTCGTAGGTGGAAGATAGCAATACATTTTCCGTATGAAATGTTTAATTTCGTTAATCTACACAATAAGATCGCTAAATGCAAAAATCGAACTAAAATAGACAAAGCTGAAATTTCACTCCTCACCATTACCATGACAGCACTTGCCTCTGCTAACAAATAAAACTATACTTCATGAGTAGTTACATAAAAAAATATAGTTTCACCTTGACATGTTAATCACTATGAACATAACCCTATTTACATATACACTTTTCTAAAGTTATAGCTGTATTGAAATACTGAGCATTTCTACTTATTAAGCATTTTATTGGCTTAAATTACACATAGTAATCTTTACAGACATTTACACCAAGTAATAATCCAACAACAGGATAAATATCTTTAGTATGAGTTAGTATGTTCATACAACCATAACCATAGGTATATCAGACTTTACCTATGCTAACGATAAACATTTCGAAGAAATGTCATCGCAGGTTGAACACACGAACGCACTGCACTGTGGGGGAAAATGTTGCCAGTTTACATATATACCGTTGGCAAAATTTTCGAGAATTCTTCCGCAGAATGTAATAATTATATCAGGAGTGAATAATAGAGATCTCTATTATTCCCTCCTGATTATATGAATACTGTGTACAGCCAATAATCATTGTCATATGTTGGATCAATACTTGTTCATGTATAAATGCTGCAGTTTTCACAAACATGAAATCGTAAAAAACAACAAGGTGACACGATTTAAAATGTTTCTATACACCTACAACCCTTATAGATAATTATCTACAAAGCATCACTCAGAATCACATGAATGTGCAGAAGACATAATTATATAATTAACAACCCTGAATATATGATTTCACACATTAACATCAAGTCTGGGCAATACACGTGTGGTCACTTTGAACTTAATAAATATCTTAAATAATAATAAGTGTACGGGAAAAATATGAACTGGTATGCAAAATTATGTACCACTGTAAGTGTTTATAATGTCACTGCTAGTTCTTAACCTCCTACAGTACACTTGACTAGTTGTGTGCTAATACTATTCACCATATTTATTTACCTAGGTTATCAAAGGGATGAAGTAAGGTTGAGAGAGGGAGGGAGGGAGAGAGATAGAGGGAGAGAGAGAGAGAGAGAGAGAGAGAGAGAGAGAGAGAGAGAGAGGAGGAGGAGAGAGAGAGAGAGAGAGAGAGAGAGAGAGAGAGAGAGAGAGAGAGAGAGAGAGAGAGAGGAGGAGGGAGGACGGGAGGAGGTAGGAGGA